GTCCTTGAGTGAGTCACCTCACCAGTGTTCCTCACAGGGTTGCAGTGAGCATTAAAGAGATATCAACATCATCTGCAAACTGGAAGGGACCCTGCTGCTATCAAGTTGTCAAATTGCAGGAAGGATTCCTGCATTGGGTGAGTAATTGAATTAGGTAAGTGAACTCTGAGATTCTATAAATACAGGATCAGTCCTAATTCATGTAGTAAGGTGTAAACGTGTAAAAATATATGCTCTCGGTCTGGCGCAATGGCCCATGCCTGCAATCCTGGCACTTTGGGAGGCCAAGGCCGGCAGATTACTTGAGGTCAGGAGTTCAAGACCAGCCTGGCCAACATGGTCAAACTCTGTCTCTACTAAAAATACAAAAATCAGATGGGTATGGTGGCCTGTACCTGTAATCCCAGGTACTCGGAAGGCTGAGGCAGGAGAATCGCTTGAACCCGGGAGGTGGAGGTTGCAGTGAGCTGAGATGGCGCCACTGCACTCCAGCCTGGGCGACTGAGCGAGACTCTGTCTCCAAAATATATATATATATATGTGTGTGTGTGTGTGTGTGCGCGCGCGCGCGCGCCCTCCAACCGTGTGGGTCCAGATTCCATCTTTCCAAAGACTGTTCAGAGTGAAATCCAGATGAGCATCTGCCTTTCGGCTTTACCTAACCCCTGAGAGATGAGAGGGTTGGCCAGGCAAGCTACCTTATGATGAGGCTGACAAAGTAAGCAAATCATAGACGCTGCAGATCCTGATGGCAGACCTCTGAGAGGAGGCTGAGGGTCTGGGGATAGTCCTAGAGTGTGGGAGTGGTGGAGAGCATCATTTACGACTTGCCCAAACTCTTCCGCAGTGTCCCAGGTCTGGAAGCACCGTCAGTATTTCTGACATGTTTATGAAGGATTGTTCACGATGCTCAGATAAAGAATCAGAAATATCGAGGGTTTGGGGAGGAAAGTGGCATGGAGAAGGTCAGTTGGAGAAAAGATGATGTGGGTTTCTATGAGATATTAAAGCCCTAAATATAAAGGAGAGGATTCCCAGACAGCTGCCTCATATGCCTGCTTGCAAACTCAGCTTCCATCGCAAGCCACGGAGACGCGGAAGGTAAAGTTATGGCGCCACCTGCTGGATAAATGTAGGCTCGGATTCCCTCCACTTGGAGATTCCGTTCCTCCCTAACACTCAGCCCTAAAGCTCAAGCGTCCAGAGACCCCCAAACCCTCAAGGGTGCCATGTACCAACCAGGTGGAAAACTACTGTCCTGCTTACCAATATGATTTCAGTTTTTCAAAGCTTGTGCTTTGGGGTCTGAGAAATGCAATGTTACAAGCCTAGCCGTCTTTCCCAAAGGAGACTGGGATAGAATAAACACGCTCCAAGCCCCTTAAAAAGGTAGGACCAGAGGAGGTTCACCTATTCGTAAATAATCAGCCCCCCTTGTCAGCCCACCACAGTGAGGGTCCTCGTCCCAGACCAGGGACAGATGCTGCCGAGGTTCCGGGAAGAGTCATGGGTCCATGAGAGATGAACGCCTTTCCTGGCACATGAGTCATCAGAGATCCAAAGCCAGTACAGGCACTGATGAATGTGCAAGCGCTCCACTCTGTGTAGACCGGGTCTGAAGGGCTCCATAATGACCCAATCATGGCAGCAGATGCCCTGAAACTGGCTCCCTCCTGTAGGGATCATTAGAAAGCTATTAAGGGTGTCTAATTATTTCCTGGTGCTTATAAAGATGCCAATAAGCCAGGCAAGTTTTCTCACTTTTATGGAGATAATTAGAAGGCCAATTATTTTTTATGTCCATAAAAGAGTGAAACTTTAACCGCTGTCCCAGCAGCTGTATTTTATACCACCCTTATGACAGAAGCTGCTTTGTAGCACTTCATTACGCATTAACAAGGATCTCGGGTTTTTAAACTCCAAACCACAGTCTACCCCAGATTCAGAGTTAGTCTGAAGGAAGTGCAGCAGGAAAATAGGCAATAGATCATTCTCCAGGCGCTTTGGGGGAAGGGGTCATCTTGGCCATGCATTCTGCTTCAGAGGTTGTATCCTACCCAACTCTAAGACAGTGGTTCTCAAACTTGAGCCCATAGCAGACTCACCTGGAGGCTTATTCAAGCACAGATTGCTGGGCCCCATGCCAGAGTTTCTGATTCAGTAAATCTGCTGGGGTGGGGGGCAAGAAGTTACATTTCTGATAGTTTCCCAGATAATGCTACTATTGCTGGTGCTGGAACCACACTGCGAGAAACACTGTTCTAAAACAAATGATTTTAACTTGGACTCCACAGACACCCTCTTCCCTTCACCAAGGAGATTAATAGGTAGAATTCAAAGGGGTCCATGACTTTGGTTAGGAAAAGGCTTACATCTTTGTCTTCACTAACTTCCAACTGAAATTTAGCTTTATAAAAAATGATGAATGTAGGTAACAGACCACAGTAGTATTAGCAGTGATAACAGATATTTTCCAATCCCATTACGTAGTGGCAGTTTCCTGCAAATATCATCTATGCTCATCCGTGTTTTAAAACTCCAGTGGTTACTAGTCCTGCCAGTAGATTTTATTCTTTAATCCATTAACGGAGAAGCACATATTACTATATCACTGCTTTAAAAATATTGTGATAACTGTATTTCAAAATGATTGGTTTCCTTTGATGTCCTATGTATTATCTTTTGTGCATTTGAAAGTGTTATTCAGACTGCCTGGGGAGGAGGGGGGAAGGGAAGTGGGACTCATGGCACACAAAAAAGTGTAAAAATCTTGCTCTAAAGGTATTAAATTAATCCTCAAGAAAAACTCAGAACTTCCTTCAAGGAAAAGTTTAAAAGAAGTGATAATGCTTGGATAAGTGAGGAGAGGATGGACAGGGAGATAGCCTAGAGGCAGGGGGATGGATGACTTGGCCAGATTGTTTTACCTCAGTGATGAATGGAGAGCAAGAAAGGTCCACTTGGTCTTCCCTGTGCTCTTCACAAGAGGTTAGGTCAGGCCTCTTAAAACACCACCCCTTGGCCAGGGGCGGGGGCTCATGCCTGTAATCCCAGCACTTTGAGAGGCCGAGGTGGCGGGGGGGGGGTGGATCACCTGAGGTCAAGCGTTCGAGACCAGCCTGACTAACATGGTGAAGCCCCGTCTCTACTAAAAATACAAAAATTAGGGCAGGGTGTGGTGGCTCATGACTATAAACCCAGCACTTTGGGAGGCTAAGGTGGGTGGATCGTCTGAGGTCAGGAGTTCAAGACCAGCCTGGCCAACATAGTGAAACCCCATCTCTACTAAAAATACCAAAAAAAATAGCTGGGCGTAGTGGCGGGCACCTGTAATCCCAGCTACTCCGGAGGGAGGCTGAGGCAGGAGAATCACTTGAACCCAGGAGGCAGAGGTTGCCGTGAGCTGAGATCACACCATTGCACTCCAGCCTGGACCAGAGTGAGACTCCGTCTCAAGAGAAAACAAACAAACACACACCACCCCTCAATTCTCAATTTGGTGTGACCAGTGGCAATAGCAACTATAGCATCAATATTTTAAATATGAACTTCTATCAGGAGCCATATGGTTATTAAGGACTTAGGTGTATCATACATTTTCTCTGGGACATCTGATTTTGTTTGTTTGTTTTCTGTGAAGCAGGTCATCACTCTGTCACCTGGGCTGGAGTGCAGTGGTGCTATCACAGTTCACTGCAGCCTTGACCTCCTGGGCTCAAGCGATCCTCCCACCTCAGCCCCCAGAGTAACTAGGACCTCAGGTGCATGCCACCATACCAGGCTAATTTCTGTATTTTTTGTAAAGATGGGGTTTCGCTATGTTGCCCAGGCTGATACCAAAGCCCTGGGCTCAAGTGATCCACTTGCCGCAGCCTCCCACAGTACTGGGATTACAGGCATGAGCCACTGCGCCTGGCCTGACAGTGGTCATGATTTTATGAAGTGCAGAGATAGAAAGGCTATCCACTCAGTAATTCAGAGATGAACCTGATCTCTTAACTCCAAATCCTGCACTTTCCAGCCAGTTGAAGGAATGGGCGTGTGTGTGTGTGTGTGTGTGTGTGTGTGTGTGTGTGTGTCTGGTGGAGAGAGTTGGGAGAGATGGCCCCCGTCATGAAGTCCTTCTTTACCCCTTCAGGCAAACAAGCCCTGTCCCTGTGGTCCCTAGACACAACCCCAAAGTTCTCTTTTATGTGAACAAAGGAAAGAGCCTGGGATCTGCAGTCAGAGAATTGAGTTCCACTGCTGATTCTCCTATTGTGATTCCAGGTGATTTACTCAACCTCCCCAACCTTAGTCTCTACCTCTGTAAAATGAGTTTACCATCCCCCTGGCATCGCTGTGGTGCTCAGTGGGTACTTAGTAAATGCCAGTGGCCATCACTCTTACACCTTCCCCTGCTCCAGTGGCCCCATACCAGCACCGTCTCTCTACTTCCCTGTCAATGCCTGTCATTTTGGCCTGGCCACACTTCTCTTCCCTCCTTTTCCAACTCACCCCAATCTTGCTTACACCTAAATCTCCTAACTCTCCCAGAACTGGGCATCTCAGTATAGCTCACTCGGTATCTCCAGCTATGCAAAAGAGGGCCTGATTATGTCTCCTTTAAAGATTGCTGCTGGTTGTTGCCTGAACAGAGGAGTGGGTGCCTAGTCAGAAGAGAGAGATGGTTTCTTCCAGCAAGGCTTCCCTAGAACAGTTCAAATCTTTCTAGCATATTTCTTAGCCACAAAAAGTCTGGGACTTGTTTTGACTTTGTCCTTCCACTCTCCTGTGTGTGTTGAGACAAGTCCCCTAAACCTGTGGCTTTGAGTGCAACCCCCATACTTCTGCATCTTCCCCCTTTTCAACCCACCCACCCTTTGTGGATGGCACCAGAGAAGCACACTGACACTTTGTTTAAGAAGTGGGAGGAACTGGCAGTGTCAACACCTCAATGTCTTGCATTCAAATGTGTTAATCCTTTTATTTGCTCTGCATCCTTAGGCAAGTTGCCTAACCTTTCTGGGCTTAGGATCAACATATCCTGGTGGAGGGAGGGAATGGTTGCTTCATTTTCCTGAGTGTCTAGAAAGAGCAAGAGCAGATTCAGTTTAAGCACCGCAAAGAGGGGTCGTTAAAGTTTAGAGAGAATGATAGCTATGTCACTAGATCCAAGATTCACAGTGTTTCCCCACATCCTGTTTCCTATCCAGCCATCCTTGATACCTGCCTTATAAAAGAAACAGAAAGCGTAACCCTTAGGCATTCTGTACAGGGAAAATAGGCTTAAAAACAAAAATGACAGCATATGTGACAAGCACTACCCTGGCCTTATGGAAAAGCACTCCAGGTGCAGGTGAGTGAGTGACTGACTCCTCCTGGAGTGGGGTAGCTGGGCCCAGATGTTATTTGCACACTAGCTGAGCACAGTGGGCTGAGGGAAGGGAAGGATATGGAGGGGACGCCATGCATTAGGGGATAGTGTGCCATTCACCAAACTGGGGCATTCAGGAGGAGAAGCATGTTTGCCTTTTTTTTTTTTTTTTTTTTTTGAGATGGAGTGTCACTCTGTCGCCCAGGCTGGAGTTCAGCAGCACAGTCTCAGCTCACTGCAACCTCCACCTCCTGGGTTTAAGCAATTCTCCTGCCTCAGCCTCCCATGTGGCTGGGACTACAGGTATGTGCCGCCACACCTGGCTAATTAGTTTTGTATTTTTAGCAGAGATGGGGTTTTGCCATGTTGGCCAGGCTGATCTCGAACTCCTGACCTCAGGAGATCTGCCTGCCTCGGCCTCCCAAAGTGCTAGGATTACAGGCGTGAGCCACCGCACCTGGCCTCCAATGCATTCTTGAGGGAAGTATGTGCCCAAAGGACAAGCAAGAATAATAACCATAATCTTTGTAATAATGATGATGATAACTACAATAGTAACCTACATTGACTGGGAACTTACTAAGTGCCAGGCACTTTCTTGGTGTTTTGATTTGTTGTTTAATCTTCATAACAAACCCATAAGGTGGATATTGTTGCCTTCATTTTACAGACAGGAAAACTGAAGTATCAAGGGAATGTGTAACAAGCTCATTATCACACACCACTATGTGCCCAAATCCTGACATGGTGCCCTGGCGGGCCAGGTGGGCCAGACTCCGTTTACTCCCAGCTAATGACCACAGCCTTATAAGCCACCATGGGCCAAACGGTCACTATGCCTGTCCTTCCCAAATTGGCTGTGATCTTCAGCAGCTCCAGCAGTGAGAAACAGGTCATCTAGTAAGAAAGAATCAAGGTCCACAGCTGAGCAGGCCCAGGTTGCAGGCCCACATCCGCCTCACCTGGCCAAGGGTGTGTGAGCCGCTAACAAGCACCGAGGCTGAGGAGGCAGCCGAGGGAGCAGGAGGCAGCCTCTCCCTCATCAGAACTGGCCTGGCTCCTCCCACCCCAATTTCGCTTATTTAGATCCCTCTTCCTACTTGATTAGGGAGTTTCATGTCTAGGCCAGGATCCTGACCCACTACTGAAGGGGGATGGGGAAAGGGTGAAGAGGTGGGAACAGAGAAGACCCTCAACATCCCCCTGCCCCCGGCTACTGCTCTTTCTCCTGTTAACTCACCGGGTTCAATAGGCAAGCCTGGGAGCCTGACATCACCCCCACTTCCACCTCCCACCTCCAGGGAGGAGTCTTGCTGTGCGTGTGTGTGCGTGCGTGTGTGTGTGTAGGGGTTGGGGAGGTCTCCACCACACCTTACCTCTGACTTTCCCTGAGCTCTGGCCCCAGATCAGTTCACAGATACGCTGGACACAGGGCTGAAAGTTAGGCAGCAACCAGGACAGCTGGATCCGGAATCCGGGAGAGGCCAGGCTGAGGCGCTTTCTGCCTCCAGGGCCTGAGAGGCGGGGCTCAGCCAGGGCTGGGGACTGCGTAGATCCACAGCAGCCAGGGTCTTGCCCACAGCCCAGCAGCTCCTCTGAAGCACTGGAATCCCTCTCACCTGCTCCCAGCTCAGGAAGTCCCTTAGGTAACTGAATATAAAGACCATCTTCTCCCTCTGCTTTTACCTCCCAGTTTGAGCAAATACGAAGCTGTTGCTGCTGCTATTAGAAAAGTGATTTTTGTAGCGACTCTTGTTTACACAAAACTTTTGTCAAGCGTCCTAGAACCTTAACTTCTTTCAGCCTCATCGGTAAAGTGGGACTAATAGCTTAAATGGGATAATACATGCAAAAAGTTATCTTAGTCCCCTCAGGCTGCTATAACAAAACGCCAACCTTACGAACAACAGAAATGTATTTCTCAGGGTTCTGAAACTGGGAAGTCCAAGATCAAGGCGCTGGCAGATTCGACGTCTTGTGAAGGATCCCTTCTGGTTCATCACATGGTGGAAGGGGCAAGAGATCTCTCTGGGGTAACTTTTATAAAAGCACTAATCCCATTTATGAGGGCTCTGTCCTCGTGACCTAATCACCTCCCAAAGTCCCAACTTCTTAATACAATTACACTGGTGATTAGGTTTCCCAGATGAAATTGGGAAGGTCAACCAGGCACCGAGGCTCAAGCCTGTAATCCCAGCACTTTGGGAGGCCAAAGTGGGTGGATCACCTGAGGTCAGGAGTTCAAGTCCAGCCTGGCCAACATGGTGAAACCCCGTCTCTACTAAAGCTACAAAAAAAAAAAAAAATTATCTAGGCATGGTGGCACGCACCTGTAGTCCCAGCTACTCAGGAGGCTGAGGCAAGAGAATCATTTGAACCTGGGAGGCAGAGGTTACAGTGAGCCAAGATCGCACCACTGCACTCCAGCCTGGGTGAGAGAGCAAGACTCCATCTCAAAAAAAAAAAAAAAAAAAAAGAAAGAAAGAAAGAAAGAAACTGGGGAGTTCACAAACATTCAGACCATAGCAAAAGCCTAGCACAGAACATAACTCCACAACTGCCGGCACTCAACAGAGGCTGGTGTTTCTCCCTTCCTCCCCCACACCCTCCTCAGCACTGGGGCTCAGCACTGGGACTAGGAGAGGAGAAGGACCAAGCCACCTCTGGCGAAACAGGCCCCTGTGGCTGTGGCTGTGGCTGGACTGAGATTCTGTGGTCAGGTCTAGGCAAGGGACACCTCAGACCAAAACGCGGTTCTAGAAGGAAGATTTTCCAAAGCCAGGATGTTACACTTGGAAAAGAGAATGCCTCAGAGTGACTGAATACTGGTCTCCAATTCAAGGAGTACCTCACTACTTCTAAGAATGGGATGGGATTCATCCTAAGGAAGCCCCAGGGGTAGATAAGGGACACATAGAGGGCGCTATAGGGAGAGACTTTGAGTCAGGAAGAAAGAACTCTTCAGAGGCGAGTCCAGAGATGGCTGGGCTGGTTTGGGAGTGGCGAGTTCCCAGTCACTGGAGATGATCAGGCAGAGGCTGGGTGAGCTCAAGAGGATTTGGGACTGGAAGAGGGACTAGAGTAAATGACTTTCACCTTCCCTAATCTGGGGCTTCTGAGTCTATCAAAATAGGTGGCTACCAAGAGGTATGATTTGAGGACCCTTCACCCCAAATCTCTCCTTTGTCCATTACTGATGCCTGACATTCCCCAGTTATAGATTCATTGCTTTGGGTTAAGACAGCGTCTCTTGCAAAATGCCAGGCTCCCTGGTTGGTGTCACCCTGGTTTATCAGAGACCTGATCTTGGACTTTCCAGCTACCAGAACTGTGAGCCAAATACACAACTTTTCTTTATTTATCACCCAGGCTCAACTATTCTGATATAGCAGCAGAAAACGGACTAAGATAGATGTCAAATTTTATGTTGTATATATTTCATGATAAAAAATTACACCCTCCAGAATTGGGAGATTCAGAGAGGACCAGTGAGGGAAGCTACAGATTCTGTTTGCACAGACACAGCCTGCTGGCCCTTTGCCATGGATACCTGTGCACTGCCCACTCCCTGCCCCAGTGCCTGCAGTTGTGGCCGGGCCCCAGGCCCTATGTTCATGGGGGAAAAGGTGCTAGTAGGGCTTAAGGGAAGGAGCTCCAAGGCTTGCTGAGTGAGAGGCTCAAATATCCAGTAGCCCCACTTAGGACTGAACACCGGGGCACGGAGCTATAGAAAGCTAGTTGGAGTGATGGCTGAGTGAAGCAGTAAAGTTGCCGGGAGCCTGAGGGCAAACCAGGGGCAACAGGAAGGGGAGGAGTAGGAAGCTCACTAGGGACAACAATCCTGAAAATATCCTCCCATTAGAAAGGGGCTTCATTGTCCAAATGGGCATCCTGTGGTCAGTGGCAGCTACAGAGTTCTCGTGGAGCAGGACCCTAGAGTAAGCACTCTTTGGGTACTTAGACAACAGGATATTTGGTGCTCCCACCACTCCTGGAAAAAGCCCAGGCTTTGCTCCGTGACACAAGGAGGAAACAAACAGCAAGCAGACTGCTTCTGAGTCGGTAGAAGGAAGAACTTTCTAACACAGCTGCAAATGGATTGGGCTTCCTTGAAGGGTGATGAGTTTCCCACCCTAAAGGTTTTCCAAGATAAGCTGTCCTCTGCAGATTCAGAGCTCCCGTATGGGAGAGTGGGAGGGAATGCCCTGAAGAGGAGGTATTGTGTAAAGGAGTGGCCGCTGCTTTTCAAAGAAGCCACTAGTCCTCGCAGGAGACTATCTGGCCCAGGACACTAGAAAATCCCCAACTGCCATTCTGGAGTTTCCTTCCATCCTGCTTGGCATGAGGGGCCAGGCAGCAGAGCCCACTCCCTGACACTGCCTGGAGAAAGTGCCAGGTGGGGGCACAGAATGGCTTTCTGTTCCTTTGCCTTAAATGCTAGGGTGGAGAGAAGACTGGCAGGAGGAAGGGCACAGAGAGACATGGCATGTCACCCTCTCCCTCTCAAAGGGCTACTTCAGAACCTAAGAGCTGGTGGCCCTGGACTGGGCTGGGCAGGAGTGGGAGGACTCTGGGCTCCCAGTATGTGGCAGGTATGAGGTCAGCCCACCTCACAGGCAGGATGTGTCCTGGCCCAGGTGACCTGGGCAGTTTTTGCAGCCTCTATCCTTGGGGCAGAAGAATGGACTCTCCAGAGAGAGCTTCATTTATTTTTTATTTTTTATTTTTTTGAGACACAGTCTAGCTCGCTTGTCAGGCCGGAGTGCAGTGCAGTGGCACAATCTCGGCTCACTGCAACCTCCACCTCCCTGGTTCAAGTGATTTTCCTGCCTCAGCCTCCCAAGCAGCTGGGACTACAGGTGCGTACCACCACACCCAGCTAATTTTTGTGTTTTTAGTAGAGATGGAGTTTC